AGCTCCTGGAGCTAACACTCTGTTATGCAATGCTGCAATCTTTCCAAATGTCTTCAGGGAAAGCAGATCCAGAGGTGATTATCAGAATTGTTGTGTAACACAGAGCAGGACACTGCTGGCTGATGTGTCCTGCAGATCAGCACCACTCCGGGACACACCTTCTCTTTAGAGAAGAGGAAAAGTGTTTGTATGATGCATTTGCTGCCAGGAATTTTGTTGTGTTTTGTGATCCACACATTACAAGCTGATGGTTTCACCAGGAGGACTGTGGCTTGGTCCCACGTTACAGGTATTTCTGAGCACAGGGGATGGAGGAGTTGATTCCTGGAAAGACAGCAGAGATGTCTTGTCAGTCCTGACCAAGCCCTTCTTTACTCCCTGGACAACATTCTTTCCAGGAAAAAACGGATTTTTTGTTTTGTTTTGTTGTTGTGTTGTGCAATTGATCACAGATTTTGCAGCCTGACTGACAGCATAGGAGGCTTTTAGCAAGGGCGAGGGCTGGGCTGTCGGGAGGAAGAGCTGGAGAACCAATATTGCTTTAGAAAAGCCAGATATGAGGGGTAGCTGGTCTCAGGATTTGCCTGTCCCAGGTCTCATTCAAATCAAGATATTAAATAGGACCAGTTATTGCCAGGTTATTCCATGTATAATATATAAACCAGAGGCCCCAGGTTTTTTTCTTCCCACCCCCCGAGGTCAATGTGTCCCTTCTCCCTCCATCTGGTGGGGACAAAAAGGGCAGAGCTTGGCTCACCAGCATCACGCCTCCTTGCTGCACCTACTGGGCTGTCGTCCCTCCTGCCACCCCCCTCTCATGCCAGCAGCCCGTTTCACTATTTGCAGTCTGGCTGCCTTGGCCACAGTGGTTCAGCCTCCCTCAGCCCTGATCTCATCAGCTGGCTGAAGCCCTCAGAGAAATTATCTGTCCGCTGCAGAACAATTTCCTTGTTAAAAATTATTTCCAAAATATAGATGATAAACACCAGCCAGCAGAGTTTATCTTCAGTGGTGCTGAGCAGCCCCAGGAGCCCAGGACCCCCTGTGAGCACTCAGCAGCTTCTCAAACCCATTACCCAGCCAAGGCATGAGCCAGTCAGAGCTCCTCTACCAATTTAATCCAGAAAATTCACATTTAAACTGATGGAGAGGTGGTGCTGCAACATCTTCTCAATTATCTCTAAATGTTGTCAGCTTATCTCTGCTGTGGAGATAAAAGAAAACTTGATGGCCCCTCCCAAGGCAAGTAGGAGGTTGCGTGGGAGGTGCTGGAGAGTCTACCCAGAGATGTTTTCAAAACAGGTGAAGGAAACAAGATTATAAAGGGCAGTTAGGGCTGCTTTGGAGGAGAAGATGGCTCAGAAGTTCCTGAGATTCCTTCCCATCCTGTCTCCTGGGATCTGGTGAACCTGTTGGAGGTGGAGGGAGATTTGCCAGCTGATGTGAGCTAATGCAGCTCCCCAGGGTCTGTGTGGGCTCCTCAGCAAGGTACTTCTGAGTTTGTTCTCTTAAAAAAATTGATTTCCAGGAATTAATTCACAAAAGTGCTTCTAGCTGGGAGGCTGGGTGGTGCGGGAGTGTGTCTCTGTTTGTATCAGGAGTGCTCCTGTGCCCTGGTGCCAGGGGACAGGAATGTCACCCCTGGGCACACCTCTGCTGGAGATGCTCTCGGAGAGGCGGCAGGAATGGAAAGCATTCGAACCGCCCAGCCTGGGAGAGCGGTCAGTACTTACAGAAAGGGGTCAATGGTGCTGACTGAATTTTTGAAAACACTTGAAGGCTGATGGATGACTGCACCTGGTGGCAGTGGCAGGAGGAAGGTGCCGGCTGGTTGGGCTGTGTGTGGTTTAACCATCTGCTCTTCAGTAGTTTACCTGTGAAATGACAGAGGCAGACCCCTCAATGCTGAGGTTTGGCTCAGAAGAGATGAGGAGGGGCTAAATTCCTTCCCGGTGCTACCTTTATGTGTTTATCTGCTTTGAATCCTGGTACAAAGCCATGGTGAGCAAGGAAGGGAGGGTGTTTGCATCTATCAGGGTTGTTCTTGTGAAGATTTTTGAGTGGTTGTCTGGGGAAACTCTTAATTGTGCTTTTTAAGACCTCCCGAACCAAGAATTTGAAAATTGCCGTTCTCCAAGCTTTATTATCACGATGGGTTTGACAAGGGCAGCAGCTTCCTCTTGACAAATTCCACAGGTTATGTGCCTGGAAAACACGGTGACTTATTACTAAATCAGGTTAAACTTTGCCAAGTATATTGGAGTAAAACACTTGTGCCCTCCCTGCAGGGACCTCCTTACCCAGCCAGCAGATCCCTCTCCTGTAGCAGCTGCTACTGCCCATGTCTGCTCCTGGGCATCCTCTGGGTCTCCCGAACAGGGATCTCTCTGGAGAGGTTTTAGAAGAGTTTCCGGATATGGAATGTACCTAGCTCTGATTAAAAAGAAACACAAGTGTCCTGCTAGTGTCTGTCACTGTCCTCTATGTGCTGGGAATAGTAAACAGGAAAACAGCCCCTGCTCCTTGGGGTAGAGGCTTTGGTTTTTTTAGGTTTTTTTTAAGCAGGAAATTGTCTTCTGGCCTTGAGCCTAGAGAAGAAGCAATTTTTTTTTTTCCCCCCAGGGCCTAAACCCAGGCTCTAAGAAATGGGGGGAAAAGATACATTTTCCCACCAGCAGCTGCTCTCGGCCTCCGTTCGCCCCATGGATGGTCGTGTCCTGCAGCCCCGTGGGAAGCAGTGGGAGGCCACAGCCACTGTTGGGGCAGCCTCACCTCCATGTGCAGTAAAGGAATGGGGATTTAAGCCTTCTGGGCAGTCGGGGAGGCACTGATAATATATTGGAGAGGGGAAAATTAAGTGTTTCCCTGGTGAGCCCAGACTCCACATCCTATCAGTGCTTGCCAGTGAGCACCCTGATTTGGTTACAGATGGGCTGAACAAGAAAGTCCGATTTCTTTCTTTTTTCTTATCCCTCCATGTGCAGTAAAGGAATGGGGATTTAAGCCTTCTGGGCAGTCGGGGAGGCACTGATAATATATTGGAGAGGGGAAAATTAAGTGTTTCCCTGGTGAGCCCAGACTCCACATCCTATCAGTGCTTGCCAGTGAGCACCCTGATTTGGTTACAGATGGGCTGAACAAGAAAGTCCGATTTCTTTCTTTTTTCTTATCCCCCTTCACCATGACACACACCAAAAGCTGTTGACACAAGCCTAGAAAACAGCAACATGTGCTGTGCTGGGACTTGTTTGTACACAGGTTTGCCCCTCCTTGGCTTAAATTGTTATTTTAAACAGAGATGATAAAACTGGTGCTGGAGTTTTGCAGAAGATGTGTCTTTCCTATCTGATTCAGACCATATAGATTGATTTGGTTTCTCCTTCCCTCTACTTTAAGGATAAAAACTTCTTGCAGAGCTCAGGCTTGCACCATGCTGCTGGAGAGCTTTGCTTCTCGAGGGGAGAAGGAGTTCTCTAGTGGGCAGGCACAGGAGCATCCCCTCCCTGGCTCTTGTCCTGAGAGATGAGATTTATTCACTGCTCCTGGCTCTCCCTGGGGTCCCCTATGGCTGACACACCCCTGGCACCTAATGTGGGGATGTGGATAAACCCAGCTGTCTGGTGTCCAGGCTAGGTAGACGGAAGGTGGTAAAATAGTTCCCCAAATTATGTGCCCTCGCCCAAAGGCCCTTTCCCCCAGCAGTCTGTGTGTGTGGTGGCAGCAGATCCTGCTCACTCAGAAAGGGGGACAGGGACCTCTGTGGCTATGTCCGTTCTGGTCTTCACAAGGACAGAAATACAAGGGTACTAAGGGATGCTCTGCTTGCATGCCAGGCCATGAAGGCTTTTGCCAGCCCTGAGAAGATAGTAAAACCCACCGATGTGCTCTCAGCTCTGCACAGACTGTCCCCGGAGAGATGTGTCCTGGGTGTCCCTGCTCCCAGGGGATGGCAGAGAGGTGAGTAAAGCAACCAGAATTTCACTGTATGATTCCAAGGGTATTTCACTGCCCTGGGAATGCATGTGCGTAATTACAGTACTTACCTCCCTGCTATTGCCCTGTCCATCTCCACCAATACTTTATGTTCTGCACACCTGGTCTGGACCACTGCAGGGGGATTTGCAGAGAGAAACACCGCAGACCTGAGGCAGTCCATGGGAAAGTGAGTTTTAATCCCAGAGTGCTGGGGCTTTGGAGGTGTTTCTACCCCAGACTCACATGGTACCACTCACCGCATCCCGTCCTGCACCTCCAGACAGGCTGCTGGACCAGATCCCCCAGCAGGGACAGCCAAAGCCACCACTGCTGTAAGCAGCTGCAGCAAAGGCATCTGGCCCCATTTTCATGTCAGTACCTCATCTGTGCCAAAATACAACTTGTTCTTTTAGACAGCTGCCCTGGGAAGCTGCCACAGTGTCCCTCTGACTGCGAGTCACTTGGATGCCTGTTGGGAAACCCAGGAAAGCAGGAGCAGATAGAGAGCAAAATATTTTCCTTCATGGATTTCTACTATATTTTTTTCCCAGGTGCTGGCAAGAGGCTTTGCAGGTGCAAGCTTTTGTGCATCTGGAGAACAGTCTGGTGGGAGGGAGAGCTTTGGGCAGCAGCAATGGGAAATCCTGGGGCAGGGAAGCCCTAGAAGGCTGATATCTCCTCATGGGTGCTGCTTCCATGTGCCCAGCAGTGCCCTAGCGGAGGGGCAGAAGCCCGGTCCCTCCATCAATGAAATGTGTTTTCTTCAAGTGCCTGGGTACACAGCAAAGCCCTGTTACCAACATGCATCTTATATCCACTTCTTGTCTCAACTCCCATCTCATGCCTCCACAGAGCGGAACGCAGGCGTCGAGCAGATGTCTCTGCTGGCTGGAGCTGCTTTATTCACCACCCTCTGCTCTACAGACCTCGGATGGGTTTTTTTCCCCCTCCCTTGCAGCCGCCTCCGGCAGCTTTCACTGCATCCCCAGTGCTCACACTGCGGAGCCTTGGTGAGCATCTGCTGTCAACCCCTGGTACAAATAGCACTGTGTCTTTTTAAACACTGGTTTTGCTATAGACCCAGTCCTCTGTCAGCTGGATCTCTGTGGTCTCAGTGTCCGGCTGTATTCATTCGCAGAAATTTCTCCCCAGTCACCCCTAAATACATTGAGCAGCTGGGGGCAAAGCCCTGTCCAAAGCCCCTCTTATCCCCATCCTTTCCATGATCACTGATACCTGGGTGGGTGCTATGTCCTGCATTGACATTTCAGCTAACATTTCCACTTTTTGTCCGTGGGACCTTGGTATGTTGGTGTTTGTGGCCATTTCACACTCTCCCAGTTTGCATGGGGATCCTCCTGCCTGCCACCAGCAGCTATATGTGTGGCCGATGGCACGATGCAGCCCCCCTACCCTGTGAGCAGTGACTGCAAAACCAGCTCTCGCTTTTGGAAGTTGCCCTGCGTGCAAAGTCCTGCCAAAACCCTGCTGTCCATCGGCTGCTTCATCTCCCTTTTAGAAGGCAGCCACGAAACAAGGGAGAACATTCCACAGCTGGAGCCCCTGCTCACGCTGGTCCTCCTTGCACAGCTGTGGGACACATCTGGACCACTCCAGTCTGTCCCACCCACTTGAATCCCCTTTAGGGATCACCAGCCGGGCTGATCAGCTCACCCTGCACGGCAGCAGGAGTGTCCAGCTGCCCCTCCCACTGCAAACACCATGGGAGTGGGGTGGGAGAGCCACCCGCCTGCCTCTGCCCCAGCACCACATCTCGCCTATAAATCAGGAGCAGGAAGGACCGTCCCCAGGGTGCCGGTGGCAGGACGGAGCACAGGCAGCTGAGGGTGGGAGGTAGGTGTCCCGGGGGGGGGGCTGTGAAGCCTTTCCATCCCTCCCTGCCCCATACGAGCACCCCACAGCTTGAGATTTTGGGGCTTTGCTGCTGCGGATACTTGCAGGGACAGTATGATCTCGCCTATAAATCAGGAGCAGGAAGGACCGTCCCCAGGGTGCCGGTGGCAGGACGGAGCACAGGCAGCTGAGGGTGGGAGGTAGGTGTCCCGGGGGGGGGGCTGTGAAGCCTTTCCATCCCTCCCTGCCCCATACGAGCACCCCACAGCTTGAGATTTTGGGGCTTTGCTGCTGCGGATACTTGCAGGGACAGTATGGAAAGTGTGGCAGCAAGAGGCTCGGGGTGCTCGAGGTGGTGTTTTCAGTGTGCTGTTTCTAGCTTTTCTGCAAAAGGGGAGGGAATTAGATAGCAGGCGTAGCTGGGAGATGTTTGTGATATATGTTAACTTCCACCACGGGGAGGGGGTGGGGGGGCAGGAAACAAAACAGTGAAACAAGGAGCAGCTTATGCTAGCGCTTTCTGCATTTAGAAAGGAAAAAGTCCAGTTTTCATTCCAAACTTTATTTATTAGGTGCTGCATTCTTACTGAAAGTTGAAGTTGTTCATGGGGAATTTGGTGTTTCCTAGGAGAGAGAGAAAAAAAAAAAAAAAAAA